GGGTCGCAGCTGCCTCTGCGCGTCCTGGGGATGTACCTTTGTCGCGCGCCGGAGACGACTCGACGTCGCTGAGATCAGAGATCAAGCTCGGACAGGTCGCACGTCGCTCCTTTGACGCCGACGTGACTCACCCGTGCAGATCACATCATGACACGGTCTCGACACGCTCGGTACGACGCCTGCGACCCGTCTCGGGTCAGGTGGCACGACGCTCATCGCGCCTACCAGCGCTGCCGTACAGGTTGCCACGACGAGGTCGAGCACGCTTCTATACGCTCGCCGAGCCTTCCTTTCCATCCCATTAGGCAGCCTGGGAACGGTGGCGGTCAGAGGCAAAGCCTACGAGGGGTGGTGGAACCACATGTCACGGCTACCGCCGGCTCGACCCCACCGATAGCCTCCGAAGGCTGACTTTGCGGCACCATCATTGGACGATGTCGACGAGTTGGGTCGCTCTCGCGGTAGTCAGATGACCTCCCATGCTAGTATCATCGGCTAGGGCCGCAGGAAGCGCGGGGGAGGGCGCTGGGAGCAACACGGAGCTCCGTTGGACGTTTTCAAGATTAGCGTGTCAGAGTGAAATGGAACTAGCCTAGAGCCCCCCGTGTATACACACTGATTTAGAAAAATAACGCCACGCAGCGCCCGCCGGCGCCACCGCGCACCGGCCAAGGCCGCACCGGCCAAGGCCCAAGCCTGCGGCGCCAATGCGCAGTGCGCGCGACAACTTCCAGCCCCGCTTCGATCTGGCAGAGGCTCAGCAGCAGCGGCTGGGTTGAGCGCGAGTGTGTGCCTCGTCAGCATGTGTCTCGCCGCCGGAGTGCTGGTCACTAGTCCAGGGCCCTCACCAACAACGACATCGCCGCCATGCCCTTCCGCTAGCCCGCCGCACCAGATGTTCTACTTTGTCCACATATCAAAGGCGGGCGGATCTTCGTTCGGGAGGGCTCTCACCACCCTCTGCAGCCTCTCTGGCCGGTCGCAGCGAACTCTCTGCCCGGTGCAGCCGTGCAATCACCCATTCACCTCAACGTTGGAGAGCAGACGCGTGCCATCCACGGCCAACTCAACGTGCAATATTGTGTTCACCGAAGGCAGCATAGCGAGCCAGCAGCCCCGGATCGAGTTGCTTTGGCATCGCCAGCAGCAACAAATCAGCCATATCCTGCTGTTGCGGGAACCACTTGCCATTGTCATCTCCATGTGGGAGCATTGCCAACATGGTCGAGGGTCTCAGCTTCACCGCTACAGAAACATCTCGTTCCAGCGCTGGGTGGGTGTTTTCTCGGGCCCGGTGTCTCTGCCCTCGCAGGCGGTGACCTCAGCGAAACGCTACTGTGGCTTTGATCCACGCAACAGGCAAACTCGACTCCTAGGCGGTAGTCGCGCCACAGATCGCGATTTCGACCCATCGTTGGCGATGGATGGCACGAGGGACGGCTTCCTTGAGCTTGCGAAGCGGCGTGTCCGCGAAGCGTTGTTTGTGGGAGTGCTAGAAGAGGCGCCTGGCCTCCTCTGTCTCGTGCGTGCCCGACTTCAGCTGGAAGAATTTGACGCATGCATGGCCATGGGTGGTGGAGACGCTCTTCCCCGGGTCAACCACACTGCATCTCGGGGGAAGAAGCCCATCTTGGATGAAAACACGACCTCACAAGTGCAGTCGTTTACGGCCGCGGACCGGCTGCTCCACTCTGAGGCGCGGCAGCGCTTTCAGAACGACGTGCATGCGTGGACACGTGCTGCTGTTGCTCGGCGCTCTGGGGGGGCGCGGGGGCCCTAGAGGGTACCCATGCGGGGGGGTCCCATGGCCCGCCGCAGGCGCCCCGATTTTTCAGATTTTTTTGCCGCGATTTTTTACTAGTTTTGTGGGAATTCCGGCGCATGCCGGGCCATGCTGCATGCAATCGTGTCAAGCCTCTCGCCCGGCCGGCCGCGTGCAGACGTCGGCCTGTCTGCTGTCTGGAGTGATCTGTCGGCGGTCAGTACGACCGATCAGGTTAGAGTTTTCTTATGGATGGAGGGTCTATCTCTGTGTGTACTCCTCGAGATCTCTCCAATCTGCCCTCTCGGTTAGACCGGGTTAGATCGTGAGGAGTGATGACTGGCACGGCTCTACACCGGCACGCCCACTTACTCTGTGAAAACTCTGACCGTGGCCTTTGTGCGCAGCAGTGCCGCCCTCTCGTCCACGCCGCCGCCCTCCTCCGGCCACTCGGCCTCGCAACGCTCCTTCCCGTCGGCGGCGACACCGGGGGCGGGCGCTAGCGCGCCCTGAAAGGGCAGCAGCAAAAGCGCGCTGGAGGCTAGCGCGACCGCGGCTGGGAGGAGCGCAGCGGTCGCGTGCGCGGCATAGAGGTGGGTTGCGAGCGAGCCGACTGCGGTGCCGAGGGAGGAGAGCACGCCGAGGTAGGCAAAGGCGCGACCTGTGAGGACCCGGCCCACGGTCAAGGATGCCTCGGCAGAGCGAGGACCGGGCGCCTCTCTCAGCGAAGGCTCGCCCTGCAGCGACGGCGGCGCGGAGAGGGCACCAAGGGCGCGCAAGTGCGCATCGAGGAGCGACAGGCCGGAGAGGAGGCACACCTGACGAGCCGCGCCAAGCGAGTGGGGCGGGTATACGCGGTGCGGGCGGGACGCCCCGCAAAACGCGCCATACAAGCGACGTGCATCGGCGGCGAGCGGAGGCGGAAGGCGAGGGCGGCGCACGCGGCGGCGCTCGCAAGCCCACCGACGGCGACGGCAGCGGCACCGTAGTGCTGCGCGACACGCGGCAGGAAGAAGAGGGCGCCAATCGAGGCGAGGTTCTCGGCGAGCAGGGCTCCCGCAAACTGCGCGGCGCCCCACTCGAACCCATCGCGGAGGTACAGCGGCCACAGCACAGCGCCACTCTGCCTCGCCGCGGCAGTGGCGGCGATGGCGGCGGCGGTGGCGACAAAGACGGGAGGCCAGGAGGCGCCGCCGCTCTGGCCGCCCTTGGCCGCCCCCACCTCCTGCTTGAGCGGCGGAGCCAGCTCGGGCGCGGGCGCGAGCGACGTCGGCGTCGGCGGTGGCGGCACCGGCGCCAGCGCGCTCCTCTTGCGTCGGAGCGAGAGAGCGACCCAGCCGGCGACGCAAAAGAAAGGGCAGACGCCCATCATCACCCGGTACTGCAACTCGAGAGAGGCACCGGCGGCGGCGAGGACCGCGACGGTGGGCGGGTAGAGGCTCTTGCCAACCTGCGTGGCCAGCACCGAGCAACATCGCGGTCAGCGGAGGCCCGCCGTGATACACAGTCCCTCGCGTGCATTCGGGATCGTGGCAGAGACGGGAGAGACTACAGCGGTCAAAGTACTGATTCAGCATCTTGCAGCGTCTAGACTGGCCGTCCAGCCGGAGCAGCGACGTCTGGAATGCGACAGCGGCCACGACTTTGCGTTTCTCGTCGGGCGCGCAGTGCGAGGAGAGGTGGGACAGCACCGAGGGCAGCAACGAGGCGGCTCCGAAGCCGAGCACGAGCGATCCCGCGTAGAGCCACGCCACGCTCAGCGCGGCGGCCCGCACGGCGCAGCCCAGCGCACAGCAGAACCCGGCGGCCGCGACTGCCTCGAGCGCGCCGGCAGTGGCATCGATAAAGTGACCATACAGCGGCACCGTCAACATGCTCACCACGCTGATGATTGCGCTTATGTTACCCACCTGCTCCTGGCTCGCGCCGACTGAGAGGTAAAAGAAGGTCGTGCACGGCGCGTGAAGTGAGCCTCCGAAGACGGCAACCCATAGCAGGAGCACGGGCAGCCGAAGCACCGGCGCCGAGCAGAAGCGGGCGGCGAGGCGGCCGTTGTCGCGCAGCGACGTAAGGAACAGAGCCGCCACCATGCCGGTGCCCCCGCTTCCGCTCTGCTATTGCCGCAGCCGCTTCCACAGCTCGCTCCTGGGCAGCTGCTTTGGCGCGGGAAGAGCCGAGCAAGCAGAGTCGCCCAGCAGGAGTCCGACAGCTGTCCTGCCCCCGTTGGGGAGGGGGTGTGCAAAGAGAATTTTACCACCTGGTCGCACAACACTGGGCACGGGACTGGCTCGCACTGGCACTAACACAGGCAAAGAGAAAACATGCGACGGTGCCCCAGTATACACGGCGTCGGGATGGAAGTACGCCGAGGTCGTGCCGGATGAAGAGCAAGAACCAGAAGAGGGCCTGGTCCTCGGCGGCCGCGACAAAGCGCCAGTCGTCCCTCTCGGCGTTCGTCTTATTGATTGATGGGAAGGTAGCCGGCGGGTGTGTGCTGCGCGCACGCGAGTCATTGTCTCGTCACCGTACATTGATGAGACTTGAGAGTAAGATTGATATGTTCCCTTCAATCAATGTTCGCTGTGTGTGTGTCGCAAACTGCTACGCGAACAAAATGACGTCTACACGATACGTCTACACGATACTGCATCTCAAGGCTCAAGCACATCACCTCTCGATCACACACCTCACACGTCACCTCTCAATCCCTTCGTCCGGTCGCAGGCAGTCGCCAAAGCGGCTTGGACGAGCCTCGTTTGTCTTTGCCTTTGGTTCGCGGCGGCTCGAACATTTCAAAGAGGTTAGCGCCATCTTGTCGTTTGTAGTTGTACAAGATGCGATTGAGTTGACGGGTGTCTGGGCGGAGAGCTTCGTCGAACTCGCGGCGAATGTCAAGCACATTGAGACCTGCACGAGTTCCAAGAGCGCTCCTCACGATAGCCTCTGCACCCATCGCAGCATCTTCGTCTGTCAACGGGTCCAGTGGCAGACTGATCACCGAGACGTGCTTCCCTGTCAAGTCTATGGGCGCTTGGGTTGTTCCGTCGTCCGTGCATGCTGAATTGAAGATAAAGACCTTTGCACTCTTGTCTTTGACTTCCTTCAAAGGTCCGTCCATACCTTGTGTCAGACGATGAACATAGCCAGGGAAGAGCGACTTGTCGAGCTCTCGGGTGTCGACAAGAGTGAGGCCACAGGTTTCTTGCAGTAGCAATGGCAAGCGCCACTGATCGTAAGGCTGGCCGGTCTTGAGAGTGATCTGTATCTCGCCATTCGGATTTAGCATCGTTGCTGCTGAATCCAAGAAAGATCGAAGCAGGGATTGGTTGGACGGCACATTATCTGGACTGCTGTTTGGGACGCCGCTGTGCGGAAACGTGAAGAAAATCAAATCAATCATGCCGAGGTTGTACGTGTGCAGCTTTGTCGCATCGATCTCGTACTTGACGCCACCATCGGCCTGCGATTCAAGGTATTCCACGTGCTGTGCGCGCACGGGTACTTCCGAAGCAGTTCTGTCTTGCAGTCGTAGAATGTTGTCACGATATTGTTGTGCCCGGATTGGACGATGGATGCTTGCTGCGAGGCATCGCCGGATCCGACGCTCAGCATCCTCGTCCGCGCTGCCATTACGCATGTTGATAGAAGGTCCACACCCACGCCAGTCACAGCGTGCGCGGCTGCTGCCATTCCGCCATCGTGGCACGATCTATCCGCATCCTCAATGAAAAAGACGAGAGCGGTCGAGGGCTCTCTAGCCCGTAGCCCGATGCCGATCATCCGGCTCGCTGGGTGCGCTTCTTAGCTCCCTGGCCCTGGATGTGAGGTTGATGACTGCACTCCAAGTGCTCCAAGTCGACTTGAGACCCGAGTGACCGGTGCATGCATGCACCTCCCCGCCTGTGTCCTTTCGTGGGATATTGCTCGTGGAGCGCCTGGCGTGTAACGGTTTTCGCGGTTCAAAGTTGCAGTGACTTGGAGCACTTGGAGTGCAGTTAGCAACCTCACTCACATCCAGGCAGGGTCGGGGAGCTAAGAAGCGCACCCAGCGGGCCGGATGATCGGCATCGGGCTACGGGCTAGAGAGCCCTGATCCCTAGGGGGGGTGCGCGTTCGCGGGGAAAGGGCCGTAAAGTAAACACGGGTCTCTGAGGGTTAGTTCCGTGTACCGGGTCTCCCCTTACTTAACTGCAGAACGCCCCCTCTACTCGGAGCTAACGGACACACAACACTGTACTCCACGCACGTACACAGACAGATACGCCTCATGTGCGCCCGCCCGACTCCGGTCCCCGAGCCCCTTCTTCCGCCCGCCGGGGCGAGCCCTCGGCTCGTCCCGGTCCCTTGCTCGCCTTCCGGGCGTTACCAGACTGCCTCTGCAGTCGTTAGGGGTCCCGTACCATGCGGAATCGACCCTATCCAGTGCTCAAGTGCTCAAGTGCTATGTCTCTTCCTCGGACGAATTCGTTTTAAGTTTTCGCGCGTCCCCACGATGGTGGCTGCCCTTGGCGGCCGCCACCGTGGGAGCCGACCTGGAGATCCTCAGCGGCTGCAGCCGCCCGCGGCCGCTGCCGAAGGCACCGGTCACACGGACAGCTCGGTACGCGCGCTGCCGGCCGGTGGGCCAGGCTCTGGTGGACAGCGTGTTGGTGCCCTAGACCAACGCCAACTCCAGCAGAGCTCTCCCTGCCGGCCGCTGTGACGCGACGGCCCGAACCTCGAGTCTCCTGCTGCTGCTACGGCCCGGCCGCCAGGCACGAGGCTCGCCTCGCAGCAGCCCTCGCAGGAGCCCTCACAGCAGCCCTCGCAGTAGCCCTCGTAGCAGCCCTCGCAGCAGCCCTCGCAGCAGCCCTCGCAGCAGCCCTCGCAGCAGCCCTCGCAGCAGCCCTCGCAGCAGCCCTCGCAGCGGCCTCTTGGTCGACAGTGTTCAGTGCGGTAGGAAGCCGCCGGATATAGCTGGGCCCCGGACGTAAGCGAGCCGGGCCCGGCCGGGCCCGGCGCCCCACTTTGCAAATCGACCCGTTTCCTATCCAATATCTCCCACTCGGCCGCGGAGGCCCCAACTGAGAGCGGGGCCCGGGGGAGGGGGTCCCTACTGGTCGTGCCCACCCCTCACACGACCCCGGGCGACAGTGGGGGACCCCGCAGCAGCAAACCCGCCCCACTTACATCCGGCGGCTTCCTAGTATGGCCGTGCAAAGATAAGAATTCAACAAAGCCAAGTGTCTCGCACAGCACACAGGTTCGACACAGGTAAGAATTGGCCCGAAATCGGAATAGGACCGTGGCGTGGAGCGGTTGAGCATCCCTCCGGGGGCCCCTCTGCGCCGGGGAGGCGTTGTTGGAGGCTAGAACGCAAGCGTCCGTCGCCCTTTTCAAACTCGGGGCCCACTCCGCTAGCCTACGCTCCGACCCGAACGAATTTGGAGGGCCATGAAATTTAAGGTGTTGCTGCGCAAAAGGGGCGGGGCGCGGGCGCGCGCGGCGGGCGCCGATAGTTCTTTTTGGAGACCAGACCTTTCCGCGATGGTTCATGCTTTCTATTAATTATCTCATGCTTCATGACACGACACACGGTGGTGGAGCTGGTGTGGAGCTGTCAGCTGATCGATCCAAGCGGGTGGGGAGTGGGGGGCATGGCTGGGCATGCAGGTCCGCCACAGTCGGCCCGGCACCTCTGACGTGGTGCGGTGCCGCTGCATTCGCTGAAGAAGAGAGGTGCGACTTGATTGGAGGCACTGGAGGCGAGGCGAAGGGAGGTTGGGCCGGGCCGTGAGGGGCTGATGGCGCTGGCTAGCGCGGGGTGTGAGACGTCGTCGTCGTCGTATACTGCTGGCCCTCGCCCTCAGTTGCAGGCTCTGTGATAAGCATAAAAAAGAAAAAAATCTGTCCCGGGTCGACCATCGAGAGGCCGTTGAGCGCTCCATCCAACGAGGCGCCTCGATGGTGTCAAACGAGGAGGCTGTTATTGGGCCTGTGGCGACGGAGAAGCAGGAGCCCCTCGTTGACGAACTGTGTGCGTCGCTGTTTGACAGTTCGATGGAAGCACGGCGGACAGTTCTCGTGAGCTGCGGCGAGCTAATCTTCCAGTGCGCTCTCACCACGTCCGACCGGCGGCTCCGAAAGCTCAACGCCAGCCTGAGCAACGGGAAGGTGCCGCCGGGTGAGGCGCTGCGACAGCTGTATGATCTGGTCGGGAGCGAGGCCGTTTCCTCTGCCGCGATGGAGCTAACGTTCCCAACGCCGGACGTGCTCTCCCCTCGCGCGTCGCCTCGCAGGTCGACACTCGCCTCCCTCGGATCGCTCGAGGAGGAGGGGTCGGAGGAGGAGGACGAGGCGCAGAGTGAATCGAACATTGCGATGGACGCGTGACGGCGCCGATGGATGGCCTGTTGGGCACGCGTGCTACGTGTGTGTCGGATGACGGCTGACACGACACAGACAGACAACAAACACATATCTCTGCTGGGGGCGCGCGTAGCCGCGCCGAGACAGCCGAGCCGACCATGGCTCACTTGAGAGCGAAGAGTCAAGAGAGCGACGACCAGCGCGCACGCCTGACCCCGTGGCTGCGCCGCTGCACAGGAAGTTTTTTGGTGTGCTTTTCGTGTATTCCCGGCTGACCGCTCTTATGAAACATGCACTGAGACACTGGCTCTTATGCGCTGGCTCTTATGAGCGACACCCTTCGACCGATCGGACCAACCGACTGGCTCTGTGGCAAAGGAGATGATGGAGTGGCGAGGGATGACGAGGAGTACTCTCCGAGTCTCGCGAGTGTGCGGAGAGACGTATGTAAAGGAGAGAGAGAGCCAGCAGAGACAGCTGGTCGGCCGCCATGTGGGCCTCCGGGCCTGCTGCGGCGGCGCGGCCGGTTGAGGCCGGGCTCGGCCCGGCCCGCGACGGCTGGCCGCCGACGAGCGCGCTCGCGCTGCTCGTCAAGATGGCGGCGGTGGCGATTGCGGCGACAAAAGTTCAGGCGTACAGCGCTCAGGCGCCTGTCGTCTTTCGTCTTTTGTCGCATTTCGCACACCCGCGCGCTCCGCGAGGGCATGCGCCTTCCGCGATTCGATCCCGCAGCCAAAAGCTGCTCGCTCGAACCGCGGCCGACTCTACCATCGCGGCCGCAGCTGTTGAGCTCTTCGCAGAAGACTGGTGCCTCCCTGCGGATGCTGCCGGCGAGCCTGGCGGTCCGCTGTACTACAAGGATGTGCTGACTCGATTTCTACTCGAATTCTTCTACCCCCACGACTCGGAACACGAATGTGACAGGACCATCGGGCCCTTCAGCCACCAAAGCGGGATCACCCGAGAGCAGCTGAGCCTGCCTCTGGCCTCGCCTCCCTCTCCTTCAGGCATTCGTGGCATCCTATGGGTCGTCCAGAGTATCGACCTCTGGCTTGTCAGCCGCCCCACCGAGGGCACCATGAAGTACAGCGATCGCCACCTCGCTGGCCTCTCCGCAAGGCCTCCCGACCGCGTCGAACTCATCGGCGCGGGCTCTCTCGGCTACGGGACCGGCCCCAGCTTCGGCTGAGGGCTGACAAGCTGCCGAGCCCAAATCACTGTGAGAGTCGTGATTTCTTGTTGGTCTTTGAAAATCTCTCTCTAAAGGAGAAGGTGTGGAGATGTAAGGTAAGGTAAGGTAAATTTCTCCACACACACAAAGTGGTGGGGCAAGGGGGGGCGACCCTCGCATCTCCACACCCGACACGGGCAGGAGCCCGATGTGGAGAGAGACGCACGACGCGCAGCGAGGGCCCGAGCGGGAGAGGAGAGCTTTATCTCATTGCCATTATAACGAATGCGGCTTGAGGAAGAAGAGGAAGTTCGGGCAGAGCCTAGAGATTGGCCCGTTCGCCGGTCTGGACAATGTCAAGTACGGATTTGGGTTTTGGGATGGTGTGCCAACGGCCCAACGCCGCAGTGTCCAGTGATGGCTGATGCGTATGTGTGGACAGACCCCGTGGTAGAGCTGTTCAAACGTTGGGAGCTGAACAGTGTTGCTAGTGTTAACAGTAACAGTAGAACAACAGTGGGGCTCCCCAACAACAGTAGCTAACGTTAGGCCAGCTGCGTGGACCCCGTGCGGCCCGTGGACAGAGGTGTTGCTCGTCAAACTAGTCGTCAAGGCGCACGGGCTGGGCGAGTTTTGGCTTCCCGTCACACGCACCGAAGGATACGGTTGCAGGCAGGCGTCCCGGTGGGTCCACCACCCGCATGACCCGGTGAGCAACTTCTGCGGCAACCCTGGTGGGCAGGGGGTTGCTGGAGAGTGCTCCGACTTGCCCAGGAAGCTTACCTCGTGCAACAACGTACCTGGGCTACTGGCCGACGCGGCCACGAAGTGCGTGCAGTCCTGTGCCCAGTGTTGTGCGAGCGAGCGAGTTTTCTGGTAGAATTAGCGCACCGAAATTCTTCTATACTGTGGCCGCGCTGAGAGAAAGAGAGAGACGATCGCGCTTGAGCACGTTTGGCACCCCGGACAAAAGAGGCTTTGATTCTTACGACCCTCACCCGCCAAAAGAGAGATGTGCACTCTGCTATAGTACTTGTGTGCTCACACCACTACACTGTGGGGGGTGGGTGCCCGAGCATGGTGTATGTGCGCGTCTGTGCGTATGTGGGACAGTCAGACGTTGTTGTCCTATGCGCGGGGCTTCCCGCGGGGACCGAAGGCGTACCGCCAGGCCACCGCCGTGGCCGCGCTGGGCGAACCCGGCCTTTCTTTATCTCACAGTGCCAGTGCGCGCCAGTCCCATAAATAAATAAATAAAACGGACACACCAAACAAGGGGTGGGAGAAGGACAGGGTCCCCACCTGCGCGAGCAGGATCTTGTAAGGACGATCAGGGACACAGGGGAACGGGAGCGGGGAGCGCATCGCGACACGGAGGGGGGCTGGGCAGGGTTCACCCACACGACAGGGTCCCAGGGATTCCCCTCTCGAGAGAGATTTTTAGCAATACCAAACAACTCTAACACTCACACGTCATTTGGAGCCCTGTTCACGCGCGCGCGAGACGTGCAGACAGGGTTGCCAGGTGAGAGCGAATGGCGCGGTTCACGCCTCGCACAACAGAGAGAGAGATGCGCTCTGCATGGTGGGACATAAAAGAGAGCGAGTACTTGGGCGAGTAGGCCGTGCGGGGTCGACGCTGCCGCGCGCGACTTTGCGCGCGAGGCGGCGCAGCTTGAGAACGGCGGTGAGCGAGAAGCCGCCGCCGAACGTCTCGTGGAGCAGCAGGTTGAAGTTGTTGCGCTTGACAAAGATCGCGTCGTGGTAGAAACCGCGATGCGCGCCTTGACGTAGCCGTGGCCGTTCTTGTGGGAGAAGGGTTGGCCGGGCTGCCCGCGCGCCTCGCAGCCCATGTTTAGGCGGCGGGCCTTCTCTTCGGTGTTGCCGAAGGCGTAGGAGTGGCCAACGGAGGCGGGCGTGCCGCCACTCGAGGCGTTGCCAACGCCCGCCGAGGAGGTCTTGAGGAGGGGCGTCCGCTTGACTTCATTCACCTCATCGCATCCTCCCGGGCCAGCGTGGGGTTCCGCGAGGTCGACCTTGTACCCCTCGTTGTACTGCCGGGTGAGCTCTGGTTTCCCCTCTCGCGTATAGGACAAAGTTGCACCCGGCGGCACGGGGGCAGGCGCGGGCCTCCTACTGGTTGCGCTCTCCTAGTTCTCCTGCTACTGACAAAAGGGACAGCGACAGGTTCGCGGCACGGTGGACTCCCTATTCCTAGTGCGGCCCGCAAAATTCTTTATCTCAAGGGGGCAACAAACCCACACGGACGGAGCACACCTCAGCGACACCGTCGGCGCCTGCTTTCCACATGCGGCGATCCAGCTCGCGGAAAGCTCCCTCGAATCAGGTTGCCTTGCCGGCAGAGTACCGTGCCGACAGAGACGACGGCGTGCGTGGAAAGCCGAAGTCGCGCCTGAGCGTTTCGCGCAAGAAGGGCAGCAGGTTTAAGGATGACGCTGATGACGGAGAACTCGATGACATGCACAATTCTCACCAGTCCTGGGACCTCCAATGCGTGGATCGGTGGGGCGAGTCGTCGCCGCCCAGAGAAGGGGGGGCGGAGGAAGCAAGGCAGGAGCAGGCCCTCGCTCTAGATGCACTGCCACACAACCTCCCACAAGACGACAAGAGATGGCGCCTCGGCGCACGTGTCTTGCGGCAGTGCACCTTGTTCGCGCCCTCCTCTCCCCAACTCCGCGCCCGCTGCTGCGCCCGCAGGAGCCCGCCGCGGCGCCAACCTACCGCTCAGCCGGCGTCGCGTCCGCGACGAGCTCGTTCGGCGCGCTCGCCCTCGACACGGCTCCGCCGCAAACCGTGCCGCCGAGCCGCACGCCGGTGGCTGTCCCGAGCGGACCGCCGCCGATGACGGAGGAAGAGCGCGCCGCGTACCTCCGCCTCTTTGGGGGGGCGGCCCGCGGAACGCGAACGCTGAGCCGCCGCGCCGCAGGGCCGGTCTTTGCTAAGGCAAAAATGGCGGAGGGAGAAGTCGACGCAATCTGGGTATACGCTGCGGCCGCCACACATAGCGCCTTATCACCAAATCACGCGCTCCCGCCGGCGGCCGGTCCGCCCAAGATGCAGGGTCACGGTGCCTGATCCGCGCCCCTGCGCCATGCGCCCTCTGCAGGCGCTCTGCGTCGCGTCTCGCTCCGGGCCTGCTGCCGCCGCCACCCCGAGCACAGAGCTCACCGCGCCAGAGTTTTGCGCGGCACTCCACCTCGCAGGGGGGGGGCCCCCCTCCCCCCCTTTGGCCCCCCCCCCCCCCCCACACA